AACTTGCAAATGTAAATAAAGCTAGACAAGTGGGATCCTGAGACACTTCTCCAGTAGTCCCCAAGTTACCTTACTCTCGTCTCCAGAGACGATAATCAAACAAATTGCCTTAATTACCAAATTGATTATGTGATTAATTACGTTAATTGACTGCCAACAGCAGTCAGCAACAAAGAAGTTGTATGTTAATCACAAACACTTGTCTCCCTCAGACAACAAAGCAACAATAGCACTTTACGTTAATCACCAACACTTGTCTCCCTCAGACAACAAAGCAACAAGAGCACTTTACGTTAATCACCAACACTTGTCTCCTACAAACAAGTCAAACTGTTAACAATAACTCGAAAGTCTCTTATATTACAACCCACTTGACCCCCTCCAGCATTCAAGTGAGTAATTCCTAATTATTGTCAAACGGACAAACTAATTCAATCCCAACCGAGTTACGTTAACTAAGCCTACCACTCTCTCTTGGTAGTTTCTCAACAGTCTATGTCAAACTTACTTAAATGGCCGTTAATTACCCTAACTAACCCCGAGCAGTTAATAAACTGTCACCAGGACCGATAATTAATTATACATGAATACGTCTCACTCAGCACTGCCTAAGCAGATCTCATCAAACACTGTGAATTCACAGACGAGGTGTTAATTACCCTAGTTAACATGAGTGCGTCTTAATCACCTGTCACCTCGACAAGATATGATTAATCCAATGAGTTCTGCTTGCCCAATGACATTACCTTACGAGTCAGTCAACCCCTTGACGTTAATTAGTCCCCTGGAAACACAAACCGTAACTGTCTCTATTTTCCGCTTGTTACAACTTGTAATAAAGTTGTTACATCTTGGCTTAACGTATTTATGACGTATTAGAACGTTGTTACAACTTGCTATATTGGTTGTTATAACTGGTTAGGAGGTGTTAAAACTTGTTCGAACGTTGTAGCAACGTCGTAGTTTAGGTGTGTGTTTGGAGGGTATCCACTAATTAACATGAGCCACTAATTACCGTACCACAGACAGGTAATTAGTCACGAGTAAATTCCGGTAACACAAGTACTGTCAGCCCTTGACAGCTCCTCCCCACTATGTGAATTCATGATGAGAATGCTAATTACACAATTAGCTAGAATGGGCAATTAGTTGTCACACGGACCACTAATTGCACCTGAAACATATCTTGACGAGCTCAACACTGTTTCCCCTAACAGCTCCCTCATTAAATTATGTGCATCCCCTTATAAAGTTAATCACCCTTTAATTAACTCTCACTGAATCCTTAAATCATCAACACAACTTAAAGAAACAGAAAGTAACCCTCAGGTACACAGGTCACACTCTCAGTCACATAACATAAAGGTCCTGGCCCCATACGGTTGCACCCCTTGCAACACGTTAATTACTATGCCCCCCCACAGTAATGACACACACGGTTTGGCAACAATACAATATGTATACCCCTACACTACTGCCCCCCCCCTAATCTTGCAACAAGCTGCAAAGAACTACTGTGTGGAATCACTACTTCAGCACTGCAATTTATGTTAACTAAACACACCGTCGCTACACTGACAGCTGGCACTAATTTTCTTAATTAGCCAGACTAACCAATCCATTGCTGGCTCTCTCATTAAGTGCTGTGTACTTACTTAATCAACACAGCTCCTAGGGCAGTAATAGAATGTTTAATAAAGCAACAACACTGCCCAAACACACAAAATACTGATGTCATCAGTATACCCCATATGATAATGACATCACTACGCAATTAGTCAGTAATCACAATTACAAACTCTCCACACAACACCGTAGTTTCAGACACCAGGGTGACAACCAACCACTCATGACCTTGGTCTGACAAATTACTGGACATGCTAATGAAAACTCATGGAAATGACACACCCTAAACAATGAAAAAAAAGTCATAAACATTTCCCCTTATGAATAATCAAAAATGTATCACTAGAGAAAATATACACAGTTATACAGACCTCAGAGTGTCCGCTGATCAACCCTAAATACACTGGCCTGCTTACCTCTGATATGATATACTTGCACGCGGCAACATGGCATTAATCTAGACTCTGAACGATATATATATATATATTGTTATGTTGATCTGATAATCGTCAGATCAACATAACATTTATGGGAAAAATCTCCACACTTACCGGTTTACATACTCGAGTCAGTCAACACACAATTTGTATTACAAATTGTTATAATCCCAGGCTGCCTGAGAAACGAGTTTACCCTCTGAGAGTTACCTTACACTTCTCTGAGTTATTCTGCCAGGCCTGACCTAACGGAATATTATTATATTCTGAGAGTTATTCTGCCAGGCCTGACCTAACTAAGAGGTCAAAGAGATATAGACGTAGATATATGTATAGTAAACACTCGATTAAATTTGACGAATAGTTTAAAAACATGGGCAGTGAACAAGAATATAAATAAATAACTTGACATGAAATGTAGAGTTTGCTGGAGGTGTGAGGCTCACTTTCAGAAGGTCTTGACCTCACTTGAGCTGAAGAAATCGTGAGGGGAAGGTCGCACTCCGTTGAGCCCCTACTAGATAAGAATACCTGTTTGATATACCTTCAAGAAGAAGGAAGTGGACAGACGTCTCGATTGTGGAATAAATCTGGAAACGTCTGAGCTCAAGTCATGGACTGGAGGAAGAGTGGTTGGACAGTCTTTGAAGTATTTTGTGTGGCAGCCTAGGGCGCCCAGTGTCACCGCCCTGCCAGTGAGCGTCAGCAAGCGAATCGAATTCTGTGGTTTGTCTGGGGAAAGGAGTTGCTGAGAGAACTTCGAGGCCGGTACAGGAGGAGTCAGTAGATGGAACTCCAAGGCTATTGAAGAAATACTGAGCTTTAAGGAAGAGCAGTCCCCATTGCGAGGAGTTGGACCTCAAGCTTTGAGGGGAGAGGAAGTAGAGTGGAGTTTCACGTGCTTCTGTGGAACCAGTAGTGAAGCACCATTGCTGTTCAAGGAAGACTTCATGGTGTAGCAGGTGGAAGAGATGTGAAGGACCCTGGTAGACAATTCTAGGAGGACCTGAAGATGTTCAGGGTAGTGAACCTCTGGGGGTAGAGAAGAGGTTCTTAGTGACTACTTATATAGAGTTGGTAGTGAGTGCTTGAGTGTCATTGGCGTGCAAGACGCAGTGGACAGACCATTTTTAGTATCAAGGAATATTTATACAGATGTTTATAGTGTTGCAGCCATAGACTGGATTCCTTGTATATATATATATATATATATATATATATATATATATATATATATATATATATATATATATATAGGTAGTCGAAAAAACAATTAATTCATGAAAACTTGGCTTATTAGGCAAATCGGACCTTGCATATTAGGCTGAGAAGTGTATTCTGGCTACTAGGTACGACATATATATATATATATATATATATATATATATATATATATATATATATATATATATATATATATATATATATATATATATATTGGTAGCAGTCTTTCCTGTAGACATATATTATTAAATATGACCGAAAAAGTAAGATTAATAATTCTAACACGAATTTTCTCTATCTTTCTTATGTTTCTTTTCACTGTTGATGGTAATTCAAGATCAATTCTCCAATATTCATTTTTATTTCTAGTCTGGCGCGACACTTGAGCGCGTTTCGTAAAACTTATTACATTTTCAAAGACTTTAGTTTACAAACACACAACTGAAACTGAATAGAGCTTACACATCTTCGAGGTTTATATCTACATTTGGGTGAGGTGGATGAGGTGAAAAACGAACTTTCAACAATGGGTATTCAATGCGTATTAAATTCCAACACAAGACAGAACACGAAACAATGGGTATTGAATGGGTATTAAATTCAAACACAAGACAGAACACGAAACAATGGGTATTGAATGGAAGTAATTGTAGAAAGCCTATTGGTCCATATTTCTTGATGCTTCTATATTGGAGCGGAGTCTTGAAGTGGGTTGAATATAGTTGTGCATTAATTGGCTGGTTGATTGCTGGTGTTGACTTCTTGATGTGTAGTGCCTCGCAGACGTCAAGCCGCCTGCTATCGCTGTATCTATCGATGATTTCTGTGTTGTTTGCTAAGATTTCTCTGGTGATGGTTTGTTTGTGGGAAGAGATTATATGTTCCTTAATGGAGCCCTGTTGCTTATGCATCGTTAAACGCCTAGAAAGAGATGTTGTTGTCTTGCCTATATACTGGTTTTTTTGAGGCTTACAGTCCCCAAGAGGGCATTTGAAGGCATAGACGACGTTGGTCGTTTCCTACATAATGTTATACTACTCCAATCTCCTGTTCTCCAGTTCTCATTCTCTCTTCTCTGTCGTTTTTAACATTTCTCCTCACCAATCTACTTGTCTCTTCCTTCTGCACATACTTGCTGTCTCGCTTCATGCAGGTCGGCGTTCAATCCCCGACCGTCCAAGGGGTTGGGCGCCAATCCTAAATCCCATCCCAAATCCTTATCCTGACCCCTTCCCATTGCTACATATTCGTAATGGTGGCGCCTTCTCCTGATAGTTCCCTTCCCTGAGGTCCCCATGTAAAGATGCTGTATGCCTCATCTCCCTGAGGCCCCCATGTAAAGATGCTGTATGCCTCATCTCCCTGAGGTCCTCATGTAAAGATGATGTATGCCTCATCTCCCGGAGACCCTCATGTAAAGATGCTGTATGCCTCATCTCCCTGAGGTCCCCATGTAAAGATGCTGTATGCCTCATCTCCCAGAGGTCCCCATGTAAAGATGCTGTATGCCTCATCTCCCAGAGGTCCCCATGTAAACATGCTGTATGCCTCATCTCCCGGAGGTCCCCATGTAAAGATGCAAACATCTCCCAGAGGCCCCCATGTAAAGATGCTGTATGCCTCATCTCCCAGAGGTCCCCATGTAAAGATGCTGTATGCCTCATCTCCCTGAGGCCCCCATGTAAAGATGCTGTATGTCTCATCTCCTGACAGCCTGGATGCCAGATCCTGCACATCTTGCTCCACTACTTCCTGGTGTGTAGCTACTTCTGGATGTTCTCTGAGGGGCTGTACCTGCACACGCTGCTGGTGGTGGCCTTCGTGTCGGAGGAGCGCCTTATGAAATGGTTCTACCTGCTGGGGTGGGGAGCCCCGGCCATCATCGTCGCCGTCTACGCCGCCGTCAGGGGCTCCTCCACCTCCGACACTCAACAGTAAGTTCACTCATACATTTTGGTACAACGTTTTGGAAATACATTTGGTCTCTCTCTCTCTCTCGCTCTCTCTCTCTCGCTCTCTCTCTCTCTCGCTCTCTCTCTCTCTCTCTCTCTCTCTCTCTCTCTCTCTCTCTCTCTCTCTCTCTCTCTCTCTCTCTCTCTCTCTCTCTCTCTCTCTCTCTCTCTCTCACTCCTCTCCTCTCTCTCTCTCTCTCTCTCTCTCTCTCTCTCTCTCCTCTCTCTCTCTCTCTCTCTCTCTCTCTCTCTCTCTCTCCTCTCTCTCTCCTCTCTCTCTCTCTCTCTCTCTCTCTCTCTCTCACACACACACTCTCCTAATGGAGTAGAAGAGCCCCATTTTCTCATTTTTTTAGAGTATAAGATTGATTGTCTAGGTAACTTTCTATGGCCATTAATGTTTTTCTCTGTCTTTTTATGGTGGAAGAGCAATTGTCTAGGCAACTTTAATAGTCTATAAATGATTTTTTTTAAATTAAAATGTGTTCTCTTATGGTAATATCGCTATTGTTATGGCGGATTTTTGAGCCAAAAATGAGTTTTTACAGTTTATTCAGGGTAAAAAGAGCCATTTTTGGGAACAGTTTGTCTATTCAGGACTTTTCCTCTATTCTTTGCGGCCAGACTAGAAAAAAAAAGATAATTTAATCAGTAGGAAAAACTGGAATCACGATATTGTTTATGTTTATAGGTTGCTGACAGATGTAAGGTTTTGAAGCTAGGTAAAGATGATAGAGTTACAAGATACGAGCAAGATGGTGTTGAGATTGTGAAGTTGGATTGCGAAAGGGATCTGGGAGTTATGATTAGTAAGAATTAAAAACCAAAAAAAATCAATGCATAAATGTTCGTAATAAGGCAAATAGGGCACTGAGATTTATTTATCGAAGCATTAGTAATAAAATACCTGGTTTTATTGATTTATTTATACACCTGGTGTTGTTCTTCAGCACTTACTATTGATCTTGTTAGGGTCCATTTAGATTATGCAGTTCAGTTTTGGTCGCCATATTATAGAATGGATATAAATTCACTAAAACGCGTCCAGCGTAGGATGACGAAGTTAAGCCTGCAAATTAGAAACCTGTCGTGTGAAGAAAGATTAACAAAGATTAAATTACATTTCCTGGAAAAGCGAAGAATTAAGTGTGGCATAGATGAATGGACATAACAAGGGGGATATTAATAGGGTATAAAAAGTAACAACACAAGACAAAACACGAAACAATGGGTATAAATTGGATAAGTTTAGATTAAAGAAAGACATAGGTAAATACTGGTTTGGTAACAAGGTTGTTGATTTGTGGAACCAATTCGCATAAAATAATAGAAGTAGGATCTCTTGATGGTTTCAAGCGTAGGTTAGACTTATATTTGAATGAGATTGGGTGGATATAAATAGGAGCTGCCTCGTATGAGCCAATAGGCCCTCTGCAGTTATCTTTATTTTTATGTTCTTCTTATGTTGCGAAAAATAAAATATATTATTGTATAATATCTCAGCCTTCGCCTCTTCTTTCTCATTCTCTTGAGTCTCGTCTTTGTCAGTTTTTTCTGCTTTATATCGTTTCACTTATTTTCCTTTTCCCTGCTTTCTTTCCTCTCTATGTTACCTCTTCCTCCCTATTTCCTCTCCTCTCCCTTATGTCGTCCTACTGACTTTTCCATCCCTGCTCTCTCTTTCCCTCTCCACTCCCCGTTCCTCGCACTATTCCCTCTCCTCTTCTCTCTCTCTCTCTCTCTCTCTCTCTCTCTCTCTCTCTCTCTCTCTCTCTCTCTCTCTCTCTCTCTCTCTCTCTCTCTCTCTCTCTCTCTCTCTCTCTCTCTCTCTCTCTCTCTCTCTCGTTCTCCTTTCCCTTCCTCTCCTTTCTACCTATCCTCTGGTGAACTCTCTCCTCTCCCTTATCTCTCTTCTTTCCCTGTTCCGTCTCTTCTGGTTGCACTCTCCTACTTTATTGCTCCTTCTTCTCCCCAGACTCTCAATTGTATTTTCATTCACTCTCCACTCCCTGCTCCTTCATCTCTCTTTTCTTTCTGCTTCTTCCTCCTTCTCTTCTCTGTCTGTTCTCTATATTCCCTCTCTCCTATCCTTCCTCCCTCTCTTATCCCTTCTTCCACTCCTCTACCTGCTCCCTCTTCTCTCCTTTTAATGTTCTCTCTCTTCTCACCGTTACTTTTCACCTCCCTACTTCCTCTACCTCTTCTCTCCCTGATCATCTTAGTAACCTCTCTCCCTCTTCTCTTCTCTTCTCAGCCCTCCCTACTTCCTGTCCTCCTGCAGGTGTCGCCAGGTGTTAAGACGACAATGTCCACAAGGAGCAGGCCTTAACCCTAATATTTTTAACATCCCGTGGAAATCCTCGTTACCATAACATTTGAAGACGGGGTTAAATTGCTAAGCTCTGCTGATGACTTAGCATTAGTCGTCTTAGGTCGTGCACTTTTAAGTACTGCACAAAGGGCACAAGATAAAGCAACATCTGTGTGCTGTATTTTGAGAGCTAAAAATATCTGGATGGAAGTCTAAGACAATGAGAGTATGTGGCAACACTCCAGACAAGCACCTACGCCTTCAAGACACTAACCTTCAGTGGGTTACACAATTATCTTGGACTGTAGATAGATTCTAAAATGATATTCAACTAACAAATTCAATAACTGAAGGAGAAAGCGAAAGTCTAAATTGAACATAATGAGAGCAACCTCTGGGCCCCGTCTAGAAGCGAGACACAAAGTGATAAGAATATTTTACATACACGCCGTTCCTTCCCTAGTTGATTAGGCAGCGCCTGCCTTACTCACTCTGTCTCCTGGTCAGTGGACAAACGTTGAGGTTATTCAAAATGATGCAATGTGAGTCATAGCAGGAGCTCCCAGATGGACATAAATACTAAGCTTAAGACTGGAAACCAAACTAACTTCGGTTGAAATAAGGATAACAGGGCTCGCTGCCAGCATGCTGACCAAGATACTGACTACATGAAGCAGATATTTTCAATGGAGTACTAACTCGGGACGGAGGTGCTTCCAACGGAAACAGGTGAACCCATTGTGCAACAAACACTGTCAATACATTCGAGATCACAAATACAATCACCGAGAGGGATGTCAACGAAAAATTTGCAATCGTCGTTAAGCAAGGCCCTTAATTAGCAATCCCTGCCAGCAGACTATGATTATGGCTCTTCGAGGAAAAGGGAATCAGGCTATCCCACATCTGCCACCCAACATTGCACAGATGAATAGTTTCGGCCTTAGCCAGTAACCGGGATCTTTTCATTTCACACTTTAAATGGGGTTTTAGTGCCTCTTCTTACTAGATCTAACCCCAGGCCATAAATAAGTTATTAAAAACTAACAGCAATAGTAAATCAAACGAGAATGGGGGTTACATAACACTAAACACAACTATCCCCCATATGTACTTCTTAGCTATAAACACTTCTTACGCATGTACATAACAAAATATTGCAGGTGTCACTTTCATATAGGACACCACAAACGAATGTTTGTGATCTTCAAGCCCGGTGAGTCCACTTCTGTTTTCTGTCATACATCACTCCATGTTCCCTCCAGGAGTCTGTCTTCTACGGTCCTCACGCCCACGAGATCATCTTTCTCAGTATATCATGGACCAGTCCTACACTGTATCGTCACAGTGCCACAACACCACTTGTACTCCCCAGCAACACACTGGCAGGGGTCTCCAGCAACACACTGGCAGGGGTCTCCAGCAACACACTGGCAGGGGTTTCCAGCAACACACTGGCAGGGGTCTCCAGCAACACACACTGGCAGAGGTCTCCAGCAACACACTGGCAGGGGGTCTCCAGCAACACACTGGCAGAGGTCTCCAGCAACATACTGGCAGAGGTCTCCAGCACCACACTGGCAGGGGTCTCCAGCAACACACTGGCAGGGGTCTCCAGCAACACACTGGCAGGGGTCTCCAGCAACACACTGGCAGGGGTCTCCAGCAACACACTGGCAGGGGTCTCCAGCAACACACTGGCAGGGGTCTCCAGCAACACACTGGCAGGGGTCTCCAACAACACACTGGCAGAGGTCTCCAGCAACACTCTGGCAGGTCTCCGCAACACACTGGCAGGGGTCTCCAGCAACACACTGGCAGGGGTCTCCAGCAACACACTGGCAGGGGTCTCCAGCAACACACTGCAGGTCTCCAGCAACACACTGGCAGGGGTCTCCAGCAACACACTGTCAGATCTCCAGCAACACACTGGCAGCGGTCTCCAGCAACACACTGGCAGGGGTCTCCAGCAACACACTGGCAGGTCTCCAGCAACACACTGGCAGGGGTCTCCAGCAACATACTGGCAGAGGTCTCCAGCAACACACTGGCAGGGGTTTCCAGCAACACACTGGCAGGGGTGTCCAGCAACACACTGGCAGGGGTTTCCAGCAACACACTGGCAGGGGTCTCCAGCAACACACTGGCAGGGGTCTCCAGCAACACACGGCAGGTCTCCAGCAACACACTGGCAGGGGTCTCCAGCAACACACTGGCAGAGGTCTCCAGCAACACACTGGCAGGGGTTTCCAGCAACACACTGGCAGGGGTCTCCAGCAACACACTGGCAGGGGTCTCCATCAACACACTGGCAGGGGTCTCCAGCAACACACTGGCAGGGGTCTCCAGCAACACATTGTCAGGGGTCTCCAGCAACACACTGGCAGGGGGTCTCCAGTAACACACTGGCAGTGGTCTCCAGCAACACACTGGCAGAGGTCTCCAGCACCACACTGGCAGGGGTCTCCAGCAACATACTGGGAGGGGTCTCCAGCAACACACTGGCAAGGGTCTCCAGCAACACATGGCAGTGGTCTCCAGCAACACACAGGCAGGGGTCTCCAGCAACCACACAGGCAAGGGTCTCCAGCAACACACTGGGAGGGGTCTCCAGCAACACACTGGGAGGGGTCTCCAGCAACACACTGGCAGGGGTCTCCAGCAACACACA